CTGCCTCCCTCCAAAACAATGCATCCCCCAAAACTTCAGTGCTGCCTTTCCCAACAGATGAACCCCTCTGCTCACAGATGATGTTGCAGATAACCTAGTCAGATGCTTAATTACTGCTGCCCTTCAGAGCTTTTTCTAAGAGCTAAGGCAGCAGCACTAGCCTTGGTATTGTGTGGTTTATAGCAGGACACACTCAGGTTCAGCCCCACTTTATTTCAGGTTTTCTTGTAGGTCAGATTCCTGCAGCACTGCTGCTCATCCACATTTGGAAATAAGCAGGGGACCACAGAAATACTCAGCTTCCAAGGAAGCTGTGGACAAAGAGGAGACTATTACAGCTGCAACCCTGTGAGTTGTTGAGAGCAAGTAGAGCTTTGTGCTTCTCATGCACGACTCTTCAGCCTGACGTGACCTTTGTGCTTGTCACCAGAGCGATGCTGTTGACACATCTTTGCCTCACAAACCCTCGGAAGCCTCAGGTTAGTACTGCAGAGACTGTTGCCCCATGTTGATGCAGCTCTGTGTTGCAGTTAGCACCTACCTTTAGGGAAAAAAAATGGGCAATTTTCCAGCCCTTCCTCCAATCTGCCACAATTCTATCCCAATCCCATTTCTACCTTCCTGAGCCCTCAGTGCTGCTTCCAACTTAATGCTGTTGGAAACACAGGGGGTTTGCTCCTCCTTCCTTGACCTCTGCTGTTGGCGGAAGCACCAAATTGGACTTGAAGCAAGACTAAAGCCCCTGGACCCACACATTACTTATGCTTCATAGGGTGGGATAATCACTGAAATTAGTTTGAGGTATTTTTTTTCTCTTGAGCAGCACAGGCTGGAGAAGCCCTGTTACCTGCAAAGCTTGTTCCAAGGATTAGATAAGCTTTTTACAGTATAGATTCCCAATGTCCTCTTTCTTTTGCAAGAACCAGCAGAGAAGTAACATCCCACTTGCCCTTGCTGCTCTCAGGATGCTGCTGTGGCTCCGAGAGTTTATCAATGAACTTCCTGCACTGGAGCATCAGTTTCCCACAGACCTGCATCACCCAGCACTCCGTAACACCAGGGCACCCACAGCTCCAGCTGCCACCCCAGCACAGCCCATCTGTTTTAGCAGAGAGAAGTAATGTGAGCAGGAGGCGTTTCTGCCTCCTCAGCAGTAACTCTAAATATCTTTAACTGTTGCAAAAGCAAATAAACAATGATAAATATTGTTATCTCGAGTGAGGGAGGCTGTTGACACCACCCTGTTTGATTTTGCAGGCTGAGTGCTCACAGGGGCCAACAGCAGCTTGGCAGAGTGGCAGTCCTGCTGCCAAGGCACTGTGATCCCCTCGGCTCCACTTTGCAGGCAACTCTGCAGGGATTAGGGATGCAGCTGGACTCAAACAGGGTCTGACCACTCAGCTGATTCATATTGCAGACAGAAAAAACCTTCACTGACGATTTGCTAATATAAAGTCAAAAGTGCCATCCCAGAAAAGGAAGCCGTGTCCTTTCTCAGTAATGAAATCTCTTCTTTTTAGTTCTGGCTTTCAATGCAAATCAAACCCAACAGAAAACAAGTTTTTGCTTGCTCCTTCTTTTGTTTTCCTCCTCCTTGAGCTATTTTCCCCATACTCTCCCTCCTTCACAAACCAGCAGAAAGGTGGGACTGTTAAGGAATTTACTGCCTTGGTAGAAAACCTGCAAATCTACATAAGCAGAAAATCTTGTCACCTCTCCTCGCAAACTGAAAAGGAGAACTAAATGCAATCCCACTGGGATGCTGCAGCTACCTCAGTGGAACAAGGTTCAGCTTAAGCTGCTTGTTTCACTTGCTGCATTGCCTGTTTTTAATCCAATTTGGTTCGGGACACACAAAATAGCTGCTTTTCTGCCCTCCAGGAAGCAGTGGGGACAGCCAGAGCCGAGCAAAGCACGGGCTGGCCCTGCCTCATGTGTGCACACACCAAGCTGTGCTCAATTCTTGGCTCACACTTTAGCACTACCTTTTGTCATCTGCAACATTTTTGATCGTGTTTGTCAAAATCTCACCTGAGCCACTACAAACCAACAGCTAAAGCACGAGGCTAAGTGCTACAACAGCAAAGCCCCCATGGTGCAGAGGCTGGGAGCTGGCTGCTTCCTCACCCCCTATCCAGCTTTTGCTCACCCCATGATTATGGCCTAATGCCAGATTGTCCCTGTTAGAGGGAGACATGGAGTACAACCCTTTTCCAAAAGCACAGCTCTCCACCTCTGGCTTCCCCTTCCCCACCAGCCACCCCAGACATCACACCTCCACAGGGAGCAGTGGGGGCTGGATTGTTTCCAGCCAAGCAGCCACCACAGCCAGCTCTGTGCTGTCCCCCAGGCCTGCTTTTACAGGAATTAAAATTAAAAAAGGTGCTGCCCTGCAACAGCCTGGAGAAAAATATGAAGGAATGCCTGTGCTAAGAGCAAGGCCCTGACTGCAGGAGGCACAGCACTGCCCAGCTTTACCTATCGCCTCACGCCAGATTTACTACAGGAATCGCCAAGGGGCCGCCCTGCTCCACGATAACAAAATCTTCCCAGAGACAGAGGCAGAAATAGCCACATAGTGGCTTCATGCCTAAAACACCAGCAAAACAGCTCAGCCTCTCCTGACAGCTGCCCTGCACACTGCAGACACCGATTTGTTTCTTCCTTCCATCCCACAATCTGCCCCTTTGACTCCAGACAGAGATGAGCAAATATTTAATTAACACATTTGACCTTTTATCAGCACTCAGTGCTGCTTGCTTGCTGCACACCAGTTAGGTGAGCTTTCCTGCAAGCCTGGGAGTAGGACAGCATTACAGGGTTTCTTCACGTTATCTTTGAAAATTTTCTGAAACTTTAGATTTGAAAGCTGAGAGAACATGAAAGCGTCATCTTCCATTATTATTTTAATAGCATTTCAGTTTGTACCTCTCATGCCTGTAGGGTGGTATAAAGTAGAAAATAAGTGTTACTTAGAAAATAAAAAATATCAAAGGACTTTTTCTAGTTACCTAGAAAAAAAATCAGAACCTTTCAATTTTTTTCCTGTATGTTTAACATTTTCTTGTGGGATGACAGGGTTGGAGTTGACTGAGCATAAATGATGCCTCAAAATAGCTGAGAGCAAGCAGCTCATTGCACTAAGCTGGCAAAGAACAACCTGCTCATGGTTTAGCTGGTGTTACCAGAGACCTTCTCATGGTGTCATTCTACTAACCCTTAGGTCCTGATCATTGTTAAAATGCCAAAAGTTCTCACATCAGTGAGTTTATTTCCTGTTTAAAGGACGTCCCAGGTGCACAGCCTGACTTTGCTCAACGCTTTCCCTTCCCCTCACCTGGCCAGAGCAGGATGGTTCAGTGAGGACAACTCATTCACTAAACACCTCCATTATTTAAGCCTGAAGCTCAGCGTGCCTTGGAAGCAGGACAAAGCAGGAGAAACCTTACCTGCACACAGGAATGCTTGGTTATATTCACAAGACATGCAGTGTATGTCACCAAGACCTATTTTCGAAGTACAGCAGCATTACTTGTACTTGATAACTATAAACTTTATTTTTACAGTATAAAAATATAGGAACAAAATACTATACAGAAATATATAAAGTTAAGTTGAGATCTCAGTCTCAGTTAAGACAAACAGGATGACACTGTGCAATCCTCAGACTTCAGAAAATAAAACTGTCCTGGCAGTTGAAGTGGTGGCACACTCAATCTCAACAGGACAGCTGCTGCTCACCACAGCCAGAAGCAGAGGGAACTTTGTCTTGCATCTATCAACATCTTTGCAAGTTTGCTTTTGTTAGACATAAAATGAAACTGAAGTCCTTCTTCATGATCTGACCTGGAGACAAAAGTTCCCTCACCCCTCAGAGTATTTATGGTAAGGTGCTGAGCCCATCTGGTCAGCACACCCCCCGAGCTGTGATCCCACCCCACGGGCTCACACTGACACAAACCAGTGGCTGTAGCACACGCACACAAATACAACTGGAAGCTCTCAGTGACCAGCCGTGAGCTGGCAACTATGATTTAAGGAAGGCAAAAGGTCAGTGAAAGCAAGCTGATGAAATCCCTGAGCTTTCACCAGTTCCTCAAAACAGGAAAAAGCCAACTCCCCTCCCCCAAACAACAGCAGCCAGCATTTTTTTCCAAGGTACTGGCTGTCTTAGTACATTCTTGTCTTTAAGAAGGACACAGTGGACTGCAGCAGCCAACAGTAAAAGAATCATCTCCCTCCTCTTTACCTGTACTTCTCCAGTACTAGTTTCATTTTCCACAAACTGTCCCAGTTTGTTTGCAGGTGAAGCAAGAACAAGAGAAGGGAAAGAATGCAGAGAATTAAGAAATTACAGTCGAAATTATACAGTCATGGAAAAAAAAAAATACGAGAGAAAGGTTCTCTAGATTTTCCAAGCCTGCGTGTTCCCTCCATGGCCCCAAAACAGGGTCTGGCCTTGTCAGGGAATAACTGCCAACTGACCCTAGACCTTCAACAGAATGTGGGAGCATGTTCCCCAAAGCAGTGAACTTACTTTCACACTGCACATCAGCAATACTAGCGAGGTGCCAATATTGACACTTTTTCATCACCCAGTGCAGGACTGCACAAGAAACTGCAGTAGGAATCTCAGGTCTTCAAGTTCCTCTTATTTTATTCATTTGTAGCAGAGATTTGCAAGTCCCTGTGCTATATTCACAGGGGAAAAAGTGCACCAACACACTGGAGACACTCCAGGAATTACTGCTGTGCTGAGCCAGCTTGTGGAGTTTGACCAAAGAAAATTGACCAAAGAAGAAGTAAGAGCAGGCACCTAATGAGGAAGCTAGAAAAAGAAAGGAATTGCTCCAGGCACCAGCACATCCTAGTTCCTGTTCATTGCCAGAAAGGTGCTGCAATGGATCCTGTCTCCTTTAAGCTGCATGTGCAGGACGGAGTAGTTGTGTAGGGTTGATCAGCAGCATTTTTGGACAGTCTGTGGCAGGTGTAGGGACCACTCACTGCCACTTGTAGATATTCACCATCTTCTCTGTCAGAGTAGCCAGGAGGTGGGTTTGGTTCACTTCCAAAGGGCAGATATCCAGCACAGGCAGGTCAGCTGATAGCTTCTGCAGCAAGGAGCCACTTCCAGCATCCCAGAGCTGTGGGAGGGACATGCAAGGTCAAGGACTGCAGGATTCTCCCCTCCCATCCAGAAGAAACCTTTCTCTTCTCAGAAAAGACTTTGCTCAAATTACTTACAGGACCCTTTCTCTACTTCCACACCCTGCCTGGATGGTCTCTAACAGACTCACAGCACAGTGCCACCCTGACCACCCTCTCTGACCCCACTCACGAGCTCTCATGCAGCCTGTTGTCCACCTTCTGCTTTTTTATACAAAAGGCAACCCTTCTCCTCTTCTTCTCCATCATTCCAAAGAGCCTGCATCCATCCCTTGCAGCACTTACTGCATTACCTATTCCATCAAGTCTGTTACACCACTTAGAGTGCCCAGTTGTGCCAGTGTGCCCAGCCCCATTCCTCTGGAGGACAACAGGGGCTCATTGCCTGCACAGCTTTCAGTGGATGGGGACCACAGGCCTTGGCTAAGATTGAGAGTCCTACAGTATCAGAAAGTTACACCTGTCACAGCAAGTACAACAGTCCAACCTGCACAGGTTAATGTGCATGACAATTCCCAACAAATCACACTGAGGCTGTGACTGATAAAGCTTCTCTCCTAAGAATTGAACAAACCCCTACACCACACCAAAAGGAGCAAGAGATACCAGGGCAGAATTGGATGCCTCATCACCAGCACACACAAAGACACTGCCATCCTCCTCTGGGCTCTGAAAAATGGCATTCTTGGTCAGCAACTTGCAGGTAGGCCCAGCAGTGAAAGTCTGAACTGGGTTAGAAGAACACACAACATCTCCAGAGGCCTCTGTCAGTGGGTTGCAAGTCAGTTCCATCATCACACAACGCACACATGGGTTATTTTTACCTGTGTGGTAGAAATAAAAAAAAGTCACTTTTGGAAGATGTACTCACAGACAGGCTTTAACTGTAGGAATACAAGCAGTACCACACTGCAGCTGCCTCCTTTTGCCCTCCCCTGGTTCTCATCTACATGCAGATGCTCATAGCTCTGGTGAGGGCAGGTGCTGCATCTCTGCTGTGCTGTGGCACACAAGGTGCTGCTGAGCTCAGCCCACAGTGGTGAGGGGCAGTGGGCAGTGCCTTGCAGGCACATCCACTACGTACCAGGCCTGTACGTGGCGAGACAGTGCCGTGTGTGGATCTCTGTTTGAATGTCAATGCAGCCTCCAGGTTCCAGGGGCAGATGATGAGGTCTGTAGGAGATCCCATCTTTCTGTTCCCAAAAGCAGGCTCCTTCCAAGGACCCAGCCAATATCCCACCGTAAGGCAGTGACGCTGAGGCCATCCGAGGCAAGTAAGACAGCGATACCATGGGGCACCTGGGAGGGTGATTGGCAAGAGTCATGTTTGAATGTCAATGCAGCCTCCAGGTTCCAGGGGCAGATGATGAGGTCTGTAGGAGATCCCATCTTTCTGTTCCCAAAAGCAGGCTCCTTCCAAGGACCCAGCCAATATCCCACCGTAAGGCAGTGACGCTGAGGCCATCCGAGGCAAGTAAGACAGCGATACCATGGGGCACCTGGGAGGGTGATTGGCAAGAGTCAGCCAAGATGCA